CATGCAAATCCAGCATCCAATCATGGCAACATAATATAACAGCAATCTAACTCAGCTCCGGCCTCCTGCTGCCTGAGGTCTCAACATTACCTGACCCTGAAATAAGCATTCCCCAAACGTGGGGTGAGATCTCTAAACAAGAAATCTCAGTAAGACAAGGGGTCCTCAAGGATCTTCCACCCCAAGCTCACTTACATGTGCAATATAAGTTCTAAAAGCATTTATATCATTATCAGTTCCAAAACTATGTAGTGCAACAGATATCTATGGAATGTGTGTTATCACTATCTACTGGCCAGAGAAATGTAGGAATACGTCTATTCCCTACATGTAGTACAAGGAACACCGCTTGCACCTCACCCACAGCCTCACCCTCTTGTATGTTCTACATACTCAGGCTTACCGTATAGGTGGAACACCTCCATGCATATCAACAAGGCACTAACATACAATAACTCAACAGCATTTCCAAAACATCAAAAGCATGTAACACAGCATGCATATACCATATCCCCATGGGACATGGTGGAACCACAACATGGCTAAACCGAGGACACGAAAGCTTACCTGTACCCGTATGCCCCTTCGACTCGAACTCGGTATCACAAGGGTCCACACCACAAATAGAATCCAATGCACTCACAGATCTGGTTCAATGACCATCATAGTATCAATATACATATTCTAAAATTCCAAGGCAATCGAATATTATTTCTTTTCCAATTCGAACCTGGAGATCCTTTCTAAGACATATCATTTAACTTATTTAATTTAAGATAATTATTGTCTTATAAATATATATAACTAACGATTCCATATAACAATATATATATATATATATATATATATATATATATATAACAATATATATATATATAAGACTACGTGACCTTTTAAAAGCAGCGTGACCTTTTAAAACTAATATAACAATATATGTATAAGACTAATATATATATATATATATATATATATATATATATATATATATATATATATATATATAACTACGTGACCTTTTAAAGAAAACAACGCCTCTGACTCCCTGGGTTCATATAAACGAACGACTCCCTGGAGAACGAAAGCTAAAAGACATTGCTTTAATATGTATATATGTGTAACGAAACCACATCAAAAGCAAATTTGATATATATATATATATATATATATATATATATATATATATATATATATATATATATATATATATATAAAAAGCACTTCGACCAGCGTGAAAGCCCTACATTGGGTAAACAGTGACCAAATTCAAAGTGTTGAAATTTCATATGGAGTCACGCAAATCGATGCACCCAAATCATAAAAAGACAAAACAAAAAACCATCTACAGTGGAAGAGCGCACAATATACGAATGTTTTCTTAAAATTAACATGGGTTCTGAATCAACAGTAACATATAACAAATATTATATTCAAAATTATGGATTTACAAAGAGATAATTAAGTTTACCTTGGTTCTTTTTAGAACAGAAAAATGAAAACTTGAGAGGTTTAGAAAGCACCCAAATCTTCAACAAAGGGTTCTCCTTCAACACAACTAAAGCTTTAATGGATGGGTGGTGTTTCAATGGAAGAGAGGAAGAAAAAATTGAAAACTTTAGAGAAGAAGGCTAGGACTCCAAGAAACTCTAAAGAGAAGCCACACTCAGCCGCTGAGTTTCTTTCAAAAAAACACACCTAGAGTTTTGTGCCCAACTATTGTATTTATAGGCCACTTAAGGGTTAAAACACACAGTATTAGCTTTAATTGCTACGCTTAGCATTTTAATCCCAAACTCTGGATTCATAACCTACTCAATTTTACAAGAATTTTCATATTTTTATTATATTTTTCTGAGCACCTTTCTGGTACGCGTTTTTCATAGCCAATATCAGTTTCTGGCATCATTTCTCATTATTTTGACTTGAAAATCGTTTTACAAGTCCTATATATTATTCTAGTAATTATCATGCACTTACATTAATTTTCCGGGATACTTTTTCGGTATGCATTTATACCGACTAGCAGAACCGGTATCTGCACTTTTCTTCCGAAAAGCGACTTTCAGCATTCTTAATCACTTACCATAATTATTAAAGCTTCTTAATAATTATTAGGGTCAATTATGGAATCATTTCCTATTTTCACATAATTAATTAATTAAATACCTTAATTAACGATGCGGGTTCTTACAAAAAACGTATCAACCCTTGCGGTCTAGGGTTAGCTTTTGTCGAAACAGGAAATCTTCATTTACGGACTCTAAAGAGCGGGCCATCTCATGACTCCTTTATTATGCATAGATTCCCGAGTCCCGTAAATGTCATCCCAGTTTCACCGGTCTATGGATAACCTAATCTCTCACAGAGATTGACGAATTCCTTTAGCTTGTCACGCTAGCTCTGAGTCCTTAGGGCATGCCCAAGAGTATACCTAGGAGTCTCCATTTTTCAGGCAGACAAGATATACAATCAAAGCAAGCCTTCCAGAGCACAGGTCTATACGACAACGTCAGGTCTAAGGAAAGACACACCCAAAAAATAAGAGACATTACCTATTGATACTATCTGTGAGATTTCCTTGTAGTGTCTCTTTGTTGGTCACTTCAGTGCGAGCTATTCTCCAATAGGTCCACCCACGAGTCAGCTAAGACATATCTTCATGTCTGCAGCTCACGAGGACTCTACCTTGCATCTCCATGCAAGTAGATGAGTCATGCTAATCTTACCCGAGATAACCAATGCCCATTATCGGTATCTCTAGACTAGGAACATATTTCTGGCAATGGACGTGTGGTGTCATTGAGCCCTCATGATCGTGATCTCTATCACAGATCCTCAATGTGACACTCGTTCCATTCAAAGGGCTTTATCCAGTTACTCATATTCAATATTTGAGACATGCAATATGAAACAAGATAAAGAATACTTTTATTCATAACTAATAAAGAAGTACATGGGTCCATCTGACTCTCAGATTGTCTCTAGGACACCTACGTACTAACAGTCATAACCGATGTCAAACTAAAAAGTTTGACACCAAATCTTAACTGTTGATTTTCGTGAATCTAACGGTTATACTTTATGGGGTCACACTTATTAAATAATTATTAATTTTCAATAAATTATAATCGTTAGATTGACGAAAATCAATGGTTGATATTTGGTGTCAAACATTTTAGTTTGACACCAGTGTTAATTTTTTTTTAGTTTGACACCAGTGTCAAATGATCATGTTATATATATATATATATATATATATATATATATATATATATATATATATATATATATATATCAATAGTTTAACTATTTATATTATTTATTACATTATAATACTTTATGTAAAGAATAGCTACTTATTATTTTTTATTACTAACATATCTTTAATGTTAAGTAATTTTTACTCTTTTATTTTAATAAATCTTTTACTATAAAAATGTCTATTAAATATTAAGTTATAAAAGAGAGATTTTATAAAGGAAAAAATGCTCCAGACTTAAACAAGTTAAACCAATTGAATTAGTTTCGTGATTTTCAATAATCTAGTTGCAAATTTTAATTTGAGTCATGTAATTAAAGAATTTATACTATAGTAACTTTTATTTTTTACAAGCAAAATTGAAGTTTTGAGTGCTCAAGTCTACACCCTTGATTACGAGCGTGAATAAGTCAAACGGCTTATTAGAGCTTTACAAGCTAGCATATATCAAGTCAGACTTAACCTCTATGAAGCATCGATACTTCAAAAACATGACGTGTCATATCCGACACTTTCTGACACTTTCAGACACCCTAATACATGTTGCAGAGACTCAAAAAATGGTTCAAAGGTTGCGTTACGTTGCATTTTTAGTTCCAACTATTAAATTCGTTGGATTACAATTACCATTTTATTGAGTTTAATATAAATATTTGTTCTATGTTATATTTCTTTTCAAAATTGATGGGTATTATAAGTTTAACTTCATTTTTTTGTTAAATTATTGAATATTAAATATAATATATATTACATAAATTAAAAATATTATTTAATATCAAAACGTGTCACAATGTATCAAAATCTAACATTTATTAAAATTAACGTGTCGGAGTGTCGTAGCGTGTCGTGTCCTGTATCTCGAGTCAATGTCGGTGCAACATAACTTAGCCTAGCCTAAAGAGTAAAAAAGAGCGGGTCTACATAAAAAAAGAAAAAAAAAATCACTTAACAATTAGGCTACAAACCTATTTTAAAAAGATATAATCTTAAACCCTACAGGCTGGCCTATTTAGTTTCACTTGTAATTAAAATTCTACTAGCTCGGGTCCAATTGGCAATGAATATATTGATCTATTGCCTAGGATTGCAAGTCGTAGGTCAAATACTCAAATTTGCACATAAAGATTTATCTTTTCTTAACTTCTCATTTGAAAATTCTGAAGACATTTATCAATGTGATAAGAGTTGTTCCTATTTATTCTTCTATTATGATTTTTTAAGTAATTCATATTTTATTTATGGGTTTAAAGTTTTTAAAGTTAATTTAAATAACTTTATCTAATGTTTACAAAAATACACGTAATTGAATTTTAGTAGGCCGGATAACTCACTAATCTTATAATTTAGCTTTCACTAGATTAATAGACCAAATTAGTCTCAAAATATTCTAAATAAGGAATTATTTAAGCTAAATCACAACTTCGACTATTTAGACCCCTTTGATGTAAACAAAGGAAGCATATATTGATCTGAGCTGCTTGTTTAAAAATCTTTTGCGCAGGGCCATTGAAGTTCAATTACGACAATTTTAATGGGAGTTTTCCGGAACTTCAATTGAATCCAAACGCTTGGACGAAGGTGTTCACTTTGTGCAATTACAATATATTTTAAATATTTCTTGTAAACAACTCCTATTGACTGATTCAAATAACCTGCTAGCTTTTAGAAATAACTTGTATTGACTGATCGATCCATGTAAATTTTCAGGTACTCAACATCATATATATCGATGCGCCTGCTGGCAATGGATTTTCTTACTCAAAAACCCAACGAGGTTATTATAGCAATGACAAGCAATGGGTGGAACATATGTATGATTTTCTACAAAAGGTTCACAATGTTTTTTAATTTTTACTTTCAAGGAAACTTCTAGCTGCTATTGTATTTGATGATCTTAGCATTGTAGTTATGATTGTTTTATGTTCTTTCTCTACGCTGTATTAAGTGGCTTGTGGATCACCCCAAATTCAGATCAAATCAACTTTACATAGGTGGTGGATCATATTCAGGCATAATTGTTACTCCCCTTGTGCAAAAAGTATATGAAGGTGAATATTATGAATTTCGGTCTAGGATAACGCGATTCAGCCAAAAAAAGAAAGAAAGAAAGAAAGAAAAATTGTAATTTTATTGTCCTTCAAATTGTTTTATGATTGCCCTTTTTATTTACTTGCAGATTATAAAGCAGGACACCTACCACTACTAAACATTCAAGTATGCAAAGATGCCCATGATTTTATATCGTTAGATTATATGGATATCGTTTTTGTATAGAATAGAATATTATTTAATATAATTTTTGGATCTTTGCATTGCACTAGGGTTTTGTGCTTGCAAGTCCATTGACTGACGATTACTTGGACTTTAATACAAGAGTTCAATATGCTCACCAACGAACACTTATATCAAATGAGTTATATGAGGTTATTATTCAACTCATTAACTAACATTTTAGTTTAATGTTCTTTCTGAATAATCAATATATTTTGAAATTTTGAGAGATAGTGGTACTATATTCGTGGAAAATATCTTTGCATAAACTAGGGTCACATTTTGCTTTTACAGTCAATTAAAGCTAGTTGTAATGGAGATTATATCAATCTTAATCCGAACAATACGAATTGCATGTCAGATTATGAAGCCTACTCGGAGGTAAGAAATCATCTTTTACAGTTTGTTTATATTTCTGACTTTGAATTTGTTCATTTTCTTGGCATCCATTAATTTAATACTTCATTAATATTTGGCACAGTTAGTCCGTTACATAGACATGTATCGAATTACGCAACCAAGTTGTATCAAAGGGTCTAACAAGAATCGAAGAAGTCTCTTTGATGACCTCGAAACTATCCACCAATCAACATTTAGGTGTCGGGTAATTAGTAAAACCCTCTCTTTTTCTATTTCCAAAGAAATATTTTGATTTTCATGAACTAATTTAAAGTTGCAACATTGATCTATAGGAAGACGAATATGCGCTCGTTGAATTGTGGGCAAATGATCCAAATGTTCGAAAGGATCTCAATGTTAGAGAGGTAATACACGTTCTTTAAATGATATATTATAAAAAAACTAAAAAAAGAAAGAGGCAAATTAGAAGTTGTTTGACTAAGAAAATGTGCAATGTCATATAGGGAACGAAAGGGCATTTCAAAAGATGCAATCATAGTGAGGCATATATAAAGAATGTTCATAGTGTTGTGGAATATCATCAGAATTTAACCAACACAAACCTTCGATCTCTAATTTACATGTGAGTTTCTAAAATCATCCTCTTGTTTGCACTATACATAAGCATAAGTCAATTACTCAATAGACTATATAGATTAATGAATAAGCAATTTATAGTTATTTTTATTCGTTTTCTTGCAGCGGCGATCTTGATATGGCGACACCTTATATTGGTGTACACTCTATAATCAAGTCACTTAATTTGAAGTTAAATAGCACTTGGCGTGCGTGGTTCGTTGATGGTGAAGTGGCAGGGTTAGTTAAATGAATAAGTTTACTTAATTTTATGGAATTTATTATTTGAATTAAATACCATCTATGGGGAGAGGTTTTTTAGTTCATAAATTTTAATTAACTTAAAACTTTCATTATACTACTTTTTTTTGTTATATATGTACACAGGTATACAGAGGGATACAAAAATAATGATCAGTATCACCTTACTTATGCGACTGTTAAGGCAAGTAATTCTTAAATGTTAGTTAACGTTGTTATTATTAATATTACTCCCTCTGCTCTTCCTCCTCGTCCTATTATTATTATTATTATTATTATTATTATTATTATTTCGAGTGAACTAGATGAATGTCTCTTTATTTTCTGTTTTATTAATATTGAATACGCACATTTACTTTCAGGGAGGGGGCCATGTAGCTCAAGAGCACACGCCTAAGGAGGTTTATGAGATGATCCAAAGATGGTTTTCATATTATGATATCTAGGCTATGTTTTTCCAGTGTATTTCAGGAGTTATTTGTTTTTTTTTTCTTTCTATTATGCTACTTCCCTAATGTTTCCCAACAATATTTGTTTTGCTTTATCCTGTTTATTTAACAAGATCAGGGCGAGATACATATGGATATATAACCGCCATCTTAAAACGGCCTCTAAATACTTAATTTCTTTTTTCATGTTTTCTAAAACCATTTCAGCAATGGCCAACGCAAGAATGGAAATCATATAGAAAATTGATTATCGTAATCTAAATTTCCTTAAATAGACTTTAGATCTGTCCTATTCTTGAATTGGATGGTTTTAGTTCATTCACCAATGGGAGCATTACACACAGAGGGAGAGAATTTTGGTTGACATGTAATATTTACATTGGTGGGATACCATGTAAATGTTGAGACTTTTGTACCAAAATTAACGAATTTTAAACCATAAACATGTGATATAATTATTCACTACAAAAAACATGCAGTTCAGTTCAACGTGGCAAAATTTAACAGATAACGTGGGTAAATGAAACTAATTAACCACAGTTTTGCCAAAGGTGGCTAATCTTGGCATGTCAATTATTTAGCCACATTTTTGTTACTGCTGTCTTAAGTGTGGTAACCTTACAAACGTGGCTAATTTGTACGGAGATAATAAAAAAAATACATTTCTATTTCTTTTATAATATGCCGCTACCCATTTTTTTTTGGTCAACTAACCTTTTATCGAAAAAAAATTCTACCCAAATTAATAATGAGATCTATATGTGAGAACTCTATCAAGTTTGTTAAGAAACTTCATTGAAAAGAAAGAATAGTCAGAAGTAAAATACTAAGTATTGGTTCTTGTTACTTTCCATTTCAATTATTTTTACTACTAAGAACTAAACCTATATAGAGCATACTCCGTGGCTCTAAATAAACAACAACTTTTGATGGGGAAACCATTTAGAAGGAACTTTCCTTGCATTCGAATGCATTTGAACCCATTCTTTATCTGTTGCCTGCAAATTTTAGTACACATAAGCTTGGTTCAGCAATAAGAAGAAATGTTAAGGTAGCTTTCTAATATCAATCTAATGGGCCTTTAATAAAGTAACCAAGCCCATTAATTAGGAATTAGTATATATAGAAGTTTAGGGTGATGTTTATGTTATGCATGTATTCAATTCTGGTTTAGTGGGGAAAGTGAGAGACTTCTAGGGAACTCTTGAGCCTAGGTATTTGGTTGAAGGGGGAGTTGAGGTTTCTTGGGGTTATTTTCTACATATTAGTGTGTGTAAAAGAGGCATGGCCTCCATTATCTCTATAATTTCAGTGTTATTTTTCTAGTTCTATCAATTTGGTATCAGAGAATTTTCGATCTAGGGAGTGCTTCTGGTCCAGATCTACAAAAAAAAAAAAAAAACTAAAATGGAAAACAACAGAATGGAGAGGAGCTTGGATCGATTAGAAGCAAACATGGATCGAGTGGAAGAAGGAATGGATCAAGTTGAAGATGTTGTTCATCAAATTCAGAAAATAATGTGGACATTAATAAAGCGCATGGATCCTTGTTTTGCAGAAGAAAAAAAGAAAGAACTACATGAAGAACAACTGCAAACAGAGAAGGAAAATTGCAACTCAAATCCAAACAGAAATTCAAAAGAAATCAACAACCAAATTAGAGATGGAGCAAATCAAAGAAGGAGAAGAGCGAAACGAAATAGACAACGATCGTGGGACTGCAACCCAGAGTTCGCGCAGTGGTGAGATAGAAGAGACGTACGACGGCGAGCGGCAGGGAGTTGGATTCCGACGACATACGTGGGAGAAGGCAGACAAGGTTGGAAGAAGACATATAGGAAGACCGTTTGCTACAACAACCCAAGCAGAGAGGCTCAAAGAAACAGAAGAAGAAAAAAGTAAAGAAGAAGATACAAAAAAATTTGAAGAAAGCTACAAAGAAGACGATGAAATTAGAGAAAAAGAAAAGGTAAGGGAACTTGGGTATGGAGCTGAACCATACAACTGGGCCCCAACTGATGATGGTGCAAGGCCCAAATTTGGAAATTCTGAGGAACTAAAGGAGCAGGCCACGGTGGTTACTAAAGGAAGCAATTGGCCAAGCAAACGAAATGGGTCGAGTGCTCTACAACAGGGGCCCAATTTTATTACTGGAGGAAATAGGAGTGTTGGGCCACAAAAATAGCCCAATGACACCCATCTTACTATAGGGCAGGGTTCAGGTGCCATAGGTAAGGGGGCAAAGGGCTGCACAAGGAAGGTTAATGGAGAATGACAACTACAGTGACCAGAGCGCGAGTTTCCGATGGCTGATGGCGGAGAAAATGGAGGATCGACAGCGGTGCAGCGTGATTGGAAACGTGCAGGCCAGCAACACACATAACACCAACATAGTGACTCAGTCCTCATATGGAGACGCCACAGAAGCGACGTACAGCGGTGAGAGGTGGGGAACAAGATGCCGACAACTTACACCGAACGTGATGGAACAAGGGAGGAGGAACCTTGGTTCTAGATGTGATGCACTTTTCTCCGTGAACCACGTATACGGTAATCAACAACTTTCAGTGATGTTATTGCGGGCGAGAAACGAATTCACAGATTTGGAGAAAGAAGATCTTTCGCACCTCGATCAAGGGGATGACAGGGTTATGCGGTTGAGCGTGCACAGAATCATAGAGGTAATATGTCAAATGCAAAGGGTTGGTGAATTTTTAAAGGGGTGGAGACTGCTTGGAATAGGACATGCAGAGAACGCTAATGATCTACTGGCCATTGCTCGTAAGAGATGGAGTAAGACATAAAGGAAGGGGGCGATAGAATTCTGCAGTGGCAGCTTTTTTACTTCAATTATAACTTGGTCAATATGCTTCAAGCTTTGGGACCCAAGATGAATGTATCTCACATTACCTGTACTCTTCCCTCACCTTGAGAACAAGGTGAATTTTAGAGGGGGAGTATTGATGGGTCTTTAATAAAGTAACCAAGCCCATTAATTAGGAATAAGTATATATAGAAGTTTAGGGTGTTGTTTCTATTATGCATGTATTCAATTCTGGTTTAGTGGAGAAAGTGAGAGACTTTTAGGGAACTCTTGAGCCTAGGTATTTGGTTGAAGGGGGAGTTGAGGATTCTTGGGGTTATTTCCTACATATTAGTGTATGTAATTATCTCTATAATTTCAGTGTTATTTTTCTGGTTCCATCATAATCATACAGAACTACACCTAGTATCTTCTTATCTTTTATATATATTTAAAAAATAAATAACAATGATATAGTACACCTATTTTTTATTTGCTGACATTTTTGTGATTTTCCAAAGATCACTAAAGATTAGAAAAAGAAAAGATCCATAATTTATACTTCTGGAATAAAGTATGTCATAAGACTCAAAACCTATAATAAAATTAAGCAGACTTAAATAAGAAGAGTGAAGATTTACATACCTCCTTGTTGAGCATGTTGTCCATTTGAACAAATGAAGGGTCCTTCTGACATGAATCTTGGAATATAACCATCTTTCTTTGTAATGCCTTTGGACTCATAACATCAGTGCACAATTCCTCATTAGGTCCTAGAAGTAAAGATGATGAATTGTGGCACGTAGTCGATTGGTCCTTTGTGAATAATAAATCTTTGCGGCAAGGGGTGCAGGAAAATCTAAATAAAAAAACACACAAGTTTTGAACCAACACCAGAGAGAGAGAAAGAGAATGAGAAGTTTTCTGGAATGAACATTAATAGGTTGTAAAGATGTTGTATTCCCCCTTTTAATCCTTTGCTATAGAGAGCTATATATAGATAAAGTGCACTAGCAGTTAGAGAAGTGGTGCTCATAATGGGTGGTTATATGTAGTGGAGGGAAGTTGAGAGAAAGTAGGGGAGTGAAGTGCTTCATGTAGTGGGGATAAAAGTAAAGACCATTTAATTGGTCCATAACATAAGCCCCCCAGCTTGGCATTGCGCATAGCCGGAATGCCAGGGTAAAAGTAAAGCCCTCGTGCCTATCAAATAGTATTTAGTGTTGTGAAAAATGATACGAATGCCGGGAAAACCCAGCTTATGAATGCTTTCGGGTTCCAGGGCTTTATCGTGTTGCTCGTTGGTTGTAGTCGTCTCTGGGTTTGTAATTGCTTCCGAGTTTGAAGCTGAGAAAAGTGTGAGAACCCTATATGATCATGTCTTGTGCGTTGATTATGATCTTTCAGAATCAAATGTTCAATAATTTTCCCGCTTCCAATTAGGAAAAAGAAGGGTGCCCAAAGGTCTTCTAGTAAACCATTTCTATCCCGGAGGACCAGTCTTCTTTTAATAAACCATTTTTATCTCGGAGGGCCGGTCTTCTTTTGGCGGCAATGGACTTTTGCTTTCCCGCTTCCGAGTAGGAATTGAACGGGTGCCCAAGAGGCCATTGAAGGCAGCAAGGGACTTTTGTTTCCTGCTTCCGAGTAGGAATTGAACGGGTGCCCAAGAGGCCATTGAAGGCGGCAAGGGACTTTGTTTTCCCGTTTCCGAGTAGGAATTGAACGGCTGTCCAAGAGGCCAATTAAGGCGGAAAGAGACTTTGTTTTCCCGTTTCCGAGTAGGAATTGAACGGCTGCCCAAGAGGCCAATTAAGGCGGCAAGGGACTTTGTTCTTCTAGCCATGTTGTGATTTCTTTGTCTTGAATTATTAACTCGGTGGATGTCTTGCACCCTGAAAAACATGAAACATGCAAGCTTGCACTAAACTCGTCAATTGTTTAGGGAATTTATTGAAAGATAATAAAAAACAAGACAGGTTTTAGTAAGAACCCATATACACTATATTAAGAAGTCATTCTTGCTTGTAGTTAAGATGCATGCTAATAACTAAGATGACATGTAGGAGACTAAAGTCCAAATAGGGTGAAAATTGCATCATGTAGATACTCCATTATTCACATGACACAAGAAAACAATTAATAATCATAAGTATTAAATTATCATTCTAATTTTCAGATTATGTATGGAGGTTCCCAGCAACTTCACTAAGTATGGCTTTTCATAATTAGAATTACAATATTCACTAATCATAAATAATAACCATCAATCAATAAAGCATAGTTAGGATTATCAATGATAATAACTAATTAATTAGAAACTATGACTTATCATTAAAATGCATGCGCATTATCAGAACTCCCTGTGTAGCGATTTGGTTGTTGTTGGCGTAGGTGGGGTGACATCTTCACATGCCTACGTTTATTAAATGGGCATCTCCAAACTTTTAGTCTTTACAATCCTCCATAGCCCTCACGTTGGCTAGCAGTTTCACCGCATTATTTTTCAGTAAAAGTCAGCTTGCTCATTGAACAATTCTGGAAAATTCCAAACTTAATTGCAATAAAGTTATCTAAAAATTCATTTTGCATAAGAGATTAAGAAATTGTACGCTATCTGTTTTAACAGTTAAGAATCTCTTATCTTAATCTTTACGATTAAGCAGGGTCTTACCAACTTTTTTAAAGGCGTAAAAACATTATTTATTACCATTTTTAAAAAAGAAGAAATATTTAAAATAAATAATGCAAATATGGAATTTCCACACCTGGTTACACGTAAGTCGCTCATCGATCTTCGTTTGTAAATGATTGGTGTTCTGAGTACCCATCTATGCCTGGACCTATTTCTTTTCATCATGTGATTGCGCTTTTCTCAAACAACAACACCAATAATATATAAAACAATTACTCATAATCCAGAAAAGCTTGCATTGCATTTTTATGTAAATAATTTATAAAATAAATTAACATTAATGAGTCATCATACGTATCAATAGCTCTCAGGTAGAACATTTGTCAAATTCCTTTCATAAACATTTATCAATAATCAAGCTTTACTAGTGACACATAAAATATGAATCTTGACAAATGCAGTAGCAAAGAAATCAAGTCGTACCCGGACACTGTAGCAATTATCCTAATAGCACGCAGGCAATAGTTCTTGATGGCCATCATTAAATATTTAACCGGCCCTCCAAAATGAAAAGACCAGTAAAAACTGATTCTCAAGCAAACAAAGATACAACCGTTTGAACACTATGGTGATGTAAGATAGAAAGAAGGAAAAAGGAAACAAACAAAATGATTTTTTATGCACACTTTATATATTTTCACCCTGGCTTGAAATAGCTTAAAGTGTCGCTTTTAAAATTTCTTTAACTTATGACTTAGGACTGTTTTTTACTTTGTGCGGCTCACTGCCCGGTAGTGTTTAGATATGTTCCTCTAACAATGATTTCAGCCAATTTTAACAATATAGACTGATTAGTTCTCCTATTCTAACTCATTGGCTTCCAAATTTATTTGTTTAGCCTGTTCCCTTTGGAACAAACAATTTTATGAGAATTTCAGTCGTATGTGTATTGAAAGAATTGAAGTTCAGGGAAAAAGTTATATACAACTTAGGAAAATTGTACATGTCTTCATCAGTTAACCATTATTCTTACAACAACGCACTATATATATGTACTTAATACTAGACTTATGGCTTCTTATTTCAAATAAATTATGATTCTAGAAGTTTGTCCCTTTATTCCAAGAATAAGATTAGACCATTTCCCTTCAAGGCCTTTCAGGTTTTCCAGATTCAATCATGAACATGATAGAAAAGTGTAACCATATTGCCTGCTCTTTTATACCATAAACTAACAACATAATACATTTTACTCTGACATGAATATGCAGTATATACACTCACGGCAGGCCATTGTGAATCCAATGCATTCGTTAACCACATCGAGGCTTAACAAACTAATTAAGCCCGTAATAATATCTATCAATCAAGTTAGTCAGCATATAGCACCCAGATAATATTGTGAGAGAAAGATACAGGACAAGGTCCATGCCATGTGAAAGAGTTTAATATTATGTTGGGTGTACGTTTAGCTTTTTATCTTGCACACATAAAATAACAATTATCATGAAAGTAACGAGATGTACTGGAGAAAAAAGAAAAAAAAAATACTAACGTAATGAAAGATAAGAGAGTTCTTTCCTGACAGTTGAGCGACCTTCGTTACTGGTCTCTATTTTGAACACCGGCTTCATCACTCAAGGTCTCATCAGAACTTGAATTCTCCAAACAAGTAGACGTACGTTAGTTCTGGACATTCTGCTTAGTTAACATTCACGGATTCAGTCGGTTGGCTATTGTAACGCCCGACCACTTGCAAGAATCAATGACTGTCCCCACACACTAACACGAGACTTTTCAGTGTGCTTTGTCCTCACTCGCACACTTCCCGGGAAAACTTCCCAGGAGGTCACCCATCCCATAATTGCTCCAAGTAAAGCACGCTTAACTGTGGAGTTCTTCCGATCCGGACTACCGAAAAGTAGATGCATCTTGTTAGTATAGGTAGTACCAATTAATTCTTATAAGCCATTCCTAACTGTACCGTCCCATACCAGCACAGTCTCTGGAATCCCTCTCTTTCGGGTGTTGATTCGATTCATTCATGTACCCCCGTCCCTAGAAGCCTGCCAGGAGCCGCTCCTTGTCCGTGCCCTTGAGCACCGGCGATCACTCTCCGCCCTCGTCAGTGCCCGGGATGTTACATGCCCACCAGCTTCCGCCTGGTTCGTCCTCGAACCACACCGTACTGGATGAGAGGCCCTGCTCTGATACCATAAAAAATTTTATGGTATCAGAGCAGTTTCGTCGGGAATATCTGTTAGCTATTGTTGAGTATGCTTAGTGTTTGATGCTTTATAGTTGTTTTAGTACTCTGTATGATTATTGCATTTGTGATCACTAAGTGTGGGCCTGATCAACTCACTTCTTTGTGTAACATGTGTAGTGACATGACGAGGAACCGAAACAACCCCGGACCATCAAACACCAATGCTCAGCCAGAACCTGTTTTGGCTGCTCTTGTGAGGCCTATAAGTGGCCGTGGGGCAACGGGCGTACAGCCTGATCCTGTGGCTGAAGCTCTTGCAGCCGTTCAGAGGGAGTTGGCTGCTAGCAGGCAAGCCAATGAAAATCTGATGAAAACAAATGAAGACTCGCGGACTGCTATGGCCGCAATGATGACCGAGTTGAGGACGTTGAGGGGTCCTAGGCCCGTGAACCTGCAACCTACTCCTCCTCCTCACACAGCTACGCCTTCTCCACCTCCTTCACAGGAAGAGGGTGGAGTAGGTAACAATGAGGGTGAGGGTAGTCACCACTCTGGAAGTCGGAGTCATCACACTGAGGTTCGTCAACCTCGAGTGGAAAATGTTGGTGATCATGAAATGGAGGAAAGGAGATTGATGGCTTTCCGAAAACACAAACCTCCTTCTTTTAAGGGAGGCTATGAGCCAATGGCGGCTGCAAAATGGCTCCAAGCGATGGAGAAAATATTCAGGGTGATGAGATGCCCTGACGCAATGAAGTTGGCTTACGCTGTTTATATGCTGGAAGAGGAAGCAGAAGATTGGTGGACAAATACCGTGCAGCCCTTAGAAGCTGAAGGTCGGGAAATCACATGGCGGTTGTTCGAGACATTGTTCTTGGATAACTACTTCCCTAGGGAGGCTAGGGAACAAAAGCAGAACGAGTACAACGACCTCAAGCAAGGGTCGATGTCTATTGACCAATACTTCTCAAAATTTAATGAGTTGGTGAAATACGCCAACTATGGGCGAGCCTTACCCACTCCGGCTGAAATGACCTCCAAGTTCCAATGGGGTCTTAATGAGAAGATGTCTCGGAAGATGTCAAATTGTGACATCCGAGAGTTCAGTCGGTTTGTAAACCAGTGTAGGAAAGTGGAGGAAGTGTATAAGGTGTCCCAAACCAAGAAGTCTTCTGAGGCCCAGCACCTAGTTCCAATAAAGCAACGGGCTCAGGTTATTGGAAGAACAGGAAGGTGCAAGGCAAGAAGCTGAATACGAATAAGCCCTTTGACTTGTTCAAAAAATCCGGTACTCAGAAGAATTTTGTTGATAGAGGACCTCCTCCCAAGTGCAAGGGATGTGGCAAGGAGCATAGAGGTCCATGTGCTTCCGGTGAGGTGATTTGTTTTAAATGTGGAAGATCCGGTCACTACTCCAGGCAGTGTCCTCAGAGCGAAGCAAGGACTATGGCAGTTCAAGCTACTGTTGTTCCGGTCTCTGTTGTTCCACCGATGCGAGAGTCTCAGACGGTTGGTAGAGTATATACCATGGACCGTCAACAATCGGAGAAGGCTCCGAATCTAGTGAAAGGTACAATTTACATTGATAATATGGATGTTGAAGTGTTGTTTGATTCAGGAGCTACACACTCCTGTATGTCTGATTTTATGGCCGTTGGGCTAAATTTGCAAATGTATGACATTCGCCCTCCAATGAAAGTGGTTACTGCTACTGGAGAGGAGTGTTATACATTCGTGTTGTGTAAAGATGTTGAGTTCAAATATGAAGGCCGAGATTACGTGCTGGATTTTATTTGTTTACCTATGATCAGCCTTCAAGTTATCTTGGGTATGGACTGGTTGTCAAAGAACTGTGCTATGATAGACTGCTGCGGTAAAAGGATTGTGCTTGATGCTGATGATTCTGCTACTAGTTCTTCCCCATATCTATCTGTGTTGCAGGTTAGAAAGGCTTTGAGGGCCGGGGCATTGGGATATGTCTTTGTGGGGGGTTTAGTAGGCGGAAGTCATGAGGAGATTGGCACTATTTCCGTGGTGAGGGAGTTTGTGGA